AACACTTGTAAACATCTATGCATTAAACATTAAGAACACCTAAATATTTAAAGCAAATATTAATAACATAAAGCAAGAGTTGACTGTAACACATAATAGCAGGGAACTTTAACACCCCACTTACATCAATGGATAAATTATTCAGACAGAAAATCAATAAGGAAACAATGGTCTTAAATGAACACTAGAATAGATACACTGAACTGACACAGAACATTCCAGCCTGAATCAGAAGAATATACATTATTTTCAGGCCACATTTTTCCAGGCCACAAAACAAAACTCAGTAAATTTTTTAAAAATTGAAATCATATCAAGAATCTTCTCCAATTACAACAGTATGAAACTAGAAATAAATCATAAGACGAAAATTGGAAAAAAAACATGGAGACTAAACTACATGGTACTAAACAATTAATAGGTTAATAAAGAAATCAAGGAGTAAATTTTAAAAATATATCTTGAGACAAATAAAAATGACAACACAACAATCCCAAATCCTTGGGACATAGCAAAAGCAGTTCTAAGGGGGAAATTCAAAGCAATAGGGCCACCACAAGGAACAAGTAAAAGCTCAAATAAGCTATATAAACTACACCTAATGTAATTAGAAAAAGAAGAACAAACAAAGCCCAATGTGAGTACAAGGAATGAAATAATAAAGATCAGAGCAGAAATAAATAAGATACTAGAAAGATAATAGAAAATATCAATAAAACTAGGACTGGTTCTTTGAAAAGATAAACAAAATAGATAAAACTTTAGCCAGACTCATTAAGAAAAAAAAAAGAGAGAGAGACCCAAATAAATAAAATGAGAAACAAAAAGGGTAAAGTCATAGCAACAATACAGAAATGCAAAAGATTATAAGAAAATACTATGAACAGTTATACGACAACAAATTGGACAACCTAGGAGAACTGACTAAATTCCTAAAACCATGTAATCTTCCAAGAGTAAATCATGAAGAAACAGAGAATTCAAACAGACTGATTACTAGAGATAAAACTGAATCAGAAAAGAAAATGTCCCAACAAACAGAAATCTAGGGCCAGATAGTTTCATACCTAAATTCTACCAAGCATTCAAAGAAAAATCGATATTTATCATTCTCAAAGTATCCCCAAAAATTGAAGAGGAGGGAAAGTATCTAAACTTATTTTATGAGGACAGCATTACCCTCTAAACAAAACCAGACAAAGACCCTGCCAAAAAAAGGCAGGAGGAGGAGGAGAAGAGGAAGAAAAGTAGGAAAAGGAGGAGGAAGAAGAAGAGGAGGAAAAGCAGTAGAAAATGACTCTTCCATATCCCAGATGAACACAGATGCAAAAATCCTTAACAAAATATTAGCAAACTGAATTCAGCAGTACATTAATAATATCATACAGCACGATCAAGTGGAATTTATTCCCAGAATGCAAGAATGGTTCCATATCCACAAATCAATGAACATGATACACCACATAAACAAAATGAAAGATTAAAAAATCATATGACTGTATCAATAGATGTAGGAAAAGCATTTGACAAAGTCAAGCATCCATTTATTTAAAAAACTCAGCAAAGTGGGCATAGAGGAAACATACCTCAACATAATAAAGTCCATACATGAGGAACCCACAGCTAAACACATACTCCATGGTGAAAAGATGAAAGCTTTTTCTCTAAGATCAGGAGCAAGACAAGAATGCCCACACTCAGCGCTCTTACTCAGCATAATGGGGTAAGTCCTAACCACAGCAGCCAGACAAGAACAAGAAAAGGAAATAGGAAAGAAAGAAGTAAAAATTGTCATTATTTGCAGTTGACATAATACTGTACCGAGAGAACTCTAAAGAAACCACACACAAAAAACTATTAGAACTAATAGTGAATTCAGTAAAGTTGCAGGATATAAAATTAATATTCAGAAATCTGCTGTTTCTATAGACAACTAACAAACTATTAGAAAGAGAAATTAAGAAAACAACCCCATTTCTAACTGCATCAAAAAGAAGAAAATACTTAGGAATAAATTTAACCAAGAAAGCCATGGCCAGTGTAGTTCAGTTGGTTGAGCTTCATCCCACCCACTGAGAGGTCACTGTTCTATACCTGGTCAGGGCATATGCCAGGGTTGTGGGATGTGAGATCGATACCCAGTAGGGGATGTGCAGGAGGCAGCTGATCAATGGGTCCTCTCATCCATGTTTCCTCTCCTTCCTTCCTCTCTCTTTCTAAAAAAAAAAGTCAATAAAAACATTTTTTAAAATGCTAACCAAGGCAGTAAAAGACCTGTACTCAGAAAGCTATAAGACATTGATCAAAGAAATTGAACAAGACATAAATAAATGAAAGGATACACCATGCTCCTATAGAGGAAGAATTAATATCATTAAAGTGTCCATACTATCCAAAGCAATCTACAGACACAATGCAATCCCTATTAAAATACCAGTGGCATTTTCACAGAACTAGAACACACAATCCTAAAATGTTTATGGATCTACAAGGGATCCCAAATAGCCAAAGAAATCTTGAGAAAGATGAAGAAAGTTGGAGGTATCACACTCCCTGATTTCAAATATACTACAGAGTTATAGTAATCAAACAGTATGGTACTGACACAAAAAAAGACACACAGGGCATTGGAACAGAGTGGAGAGTCAAGAAGTAAACACACTGTTATCAGGTCAACTATTCTCCAATAAAGAATGCAAGAACATACCATGTGATAAAGATAGCCTCTTCAATAAATGGTGTTGAGAAAACTGGACACATAAATGCAAAACAGATTAAACTAGACCACTTTCTTAGACCTTATGCAAACATGAACTCAAAATAAATTAAATACTTAAATGAAAGCCCTGCCACTATAAAACTCTTACAAGAAAACATAGATTCTTTGACATTGATCATAGCAGTATTTTGTTGGCTATGTCTCCTTGGGCAGAGGCAACAAAAGGAAAAAAAGGGATCAGGGGGACTTGCCCTGGGCAGTACCTCAGTCGGTTGGAGCCTCATGCCTTACACCAAAAGTTTGTGGTTTCCATCTTTGTAGGTCAGGGTTCCCTGGTAGGGGTGCTTAGGAGGCAACCAATTTATGTTTCTCTCTCACATCTACGTTTCTCTCTCTCTCTCTCTCTCTCTCTCTCTCAAGTCAATAAGCATGTCCATGAGTGAGGACTAAAAAAAAGTAAGGGACCTCGGCTGGTGTGGCTCAGTGGTTAAGTGTCAAACTATGAACCAGGAGGTCATGGTAGAATTCCGGGTCAGGGCACAAATCCAGATTGTCGGCTCAATCCCCAATGCTTGGGTTTGGGGCTCCATCCCCAGTAGGGAGCATGCAGGAGACATCAGATCAATGTTCTCTCTCATCATTGATGTTTATATCTCTCTTCCCTCTTTGAAATCAATAAAAATATTTTTTTAAAAAGAGGACTCCATCAAAAATAAAATACCAAAAAATAAAATAAAATAGGGACTCCATCAAACTAAAAACTTTTACACATTGAAGGAAACCATCAATAACATAAAAATGCAACCGGCTGAATGGGAGATTATTTGCAAATGATTCCTCCAATAAAGGGTTAAGATACAAAATATATAAAGAATTCATACAACTCAACATGACAACAACCAATCCGTTGTTTCTACATCTTAGCTATTATAATTAGTGCTGCCATTTCCCCAAAGAAGACATAAATGGTCAACAAGTATATGGAAAAATGCTGAATGTCACTAATCATGAGGTAAGTGCAACCAAAACAAAAATGAGATATCACCTCACACCTGTTAGAATGGCTATTATCAAAAAGACAAGAGACAGGTGGGGAGGATTGGAAAAAAGAGGGCACTTGTGCGCTGTTGGTGGGAATGCAAATTGGTACAGTCACTATGGAAACTTATGTAAAGATTCCTCAAAAAATGAAAGTGAAACTATCATATGACCTGGCAATTCTACTGGGTATTTATGTAAAGAAATTGAAAACACTAATGTGAAAAGATACATACATCAGATGTGCATTGCAGCATTATTTACAACTAGAGGCTAGGGGTATGAAATTCATGCACTGGCAGGGGGGTGGGGGAGTGTCCTCAGCCCAGCCTGCATCCTCTCCAATTGGCTGTGGGCACTG